ACTATCAAACTTCTCAGGCACAGTATTACTGCACTGGGTCTCAATTGCCTGGGGAGTTTTTAGTAGAGTATAAAGCAACAGCATCTTCATTCCACTACCTTTCTGTAACTTTGAATTTGTTCTCTCTCATTACAGCGGCAAATCCTGTCTGTTTTGAGGTTCCTCACTCCTAAAAATACATTACACTTATTCAAAGACATGCATGAGATCTTTTCATTTAACATCCTTACCTAGCACCATGATGATTTTACTTTGTGTTCTTATTTTCTCCTAAAGGGATAATTTGTAACCCACTCTTTACTGGAAATTTGAGACATCTCTTTTACACATCATCAAAAGATGTCCCTGTTCAAGTTTGTGTATTTCTCAGCTTCTGACAACTTTTCCCCAGTTAAAAAAACCCCAAAACTTATTCACTTTGTACGCTAACTTTGCCACTTCACTTTCGGAGACAGTACACCAGCCCCTGTGTGTAGACACTCACTTTCCCCAAAACAACCCACCATGACTAATGAACTTCAATCTTGCCTTTCAGACATGCTGAAATCACAAATTCTCTTCTTCCAGGGTGGACCTCCAAACTGGAAGATTATTTCTAAGAAAACTACTGTTAAGTCACTGGACCTAAACATTTTACTTGAAAGCTTTCAGGATCTTTTATCTCCATCTCCCTGTGTTCTCAGTCAAAGGAAACAAATCCTCAAAGCTCAATTTCCAGTTGACTACTCTTTCTATGAACAACACAACTGACAACTTGCCTTTTTTTTTTTTTTAATTCATTATAGACATTGGTTCCGAAACTTCAGGGAGTGTTCCAGGCTCTGTCAGCTGAAGCACTATTGATTCTTCTTAGTAAAATCCAAGAGACAAATGAAAAATATCTAACTGGCAGAACAAAATGCTGCTAACCTGCAGAAGCTGCAGTAAACTGCAAACAGAATTTCTCATAGGATCTCCTTGTCAGTGAGTAACAAGACCAAACAGATTTGACAGCCAAGTGATGCCTATCCTCTTCATTACACACACGTCTCTGCCAACTCTGGGACCCCAGTTACCTTTTCCTACTCCCTCCTATCCAGTTGCTTTAGATGAAGAATCTCTCTCAGGCCCTCCTTCCCGCTGCCTGTGCAGCCAAGAACAGCTCAACACTTTGCTCTGATGGTTGAAGCATAAACTCAGCAAGAGACACTAATCACAGCGCACAACCCTCTGACTGGTACCAATGTGTAACACCATTTACAAGTCACCCACAAAATGGTGAAAGTGTTCAATTAAGAAAGAAAATAAGGTCTGTACAGTTGTGCTCTCCCTGTCATATACATATCTAATTCTATCAGTGTCAGTAGACTTAGCTATTCCATTGCTTTTTTACTAAGTTTTTGCTGCAGTTCATATTACACAGTGTCAAACAAAGCATGGATAGGAGAAAATACAATCTGCAGTTCTCTTGGTATCATTTAGGTCACCTGGACAGAACATAAAGCTTTATCAATGCAAAAACCAATCATCTCAATGATTCAAAATCCACACTCAGGACTGGCTTCCAGAAAGGAACAACAAGCCATTTGAAGACAGCACTGAATCTTCATATTATCTGGAAATGGGAGCAAGGTAAGGTTTCTCCCTTTGTTTCTAACTGCCTTAGTACAGTAATGGCATAGAAAAAAAAACAACAAAACAGACAGGCATTAATTCTACAGCAACAGAAAAAGCAGATATATATAATGTACAGTTTTAAGCGATGATCAAAGCAAAACCAATTAATTAAGAATTATATTTATGGAACACTCATCAGTCTACTAGTCACTTGAATGACCCTCATAGCCCATAGCTTTTTGAATATGGCTTTACTAACACAGAAAGGCATGGTCTACGTATATCTATGTAATCCATATGCATCACAGTGGATTATGTATACTATGTAGATCTAAAGTCCTTACAGTTCAAGTGAGATACATCAGTTTCTCATCTGTTACTAACCACACTACCAGCTGCACAAACGGCCATTTGTGGCCATTTCACATCCACAGTCCACTAAACCCTTGTAGCCATTGCTTTTCTTCCTCCTCCCTTGAAAAGAAACAGAACTGAAATGCTCTGGGTGCTAACACCAAGTATATAAGAAACAGCAGAAATGGAGACATAACTGCAGCTGAAGCTGCATAAAGGTGAATGAAGTGAAACTATTCATTAAAAGGCTAGAAGAAAAAAAAATATTTTAAACAGTTACTATGTATAACATGCTGTTTATAAAGAGATAAAGAGAATAGACAGATTCCTGCTTCATCCTGAGCCCTGTAACATGTGATAAGCATCACCTGTAGGCATTATTAAAAGGCACTATCCATAAGATAGGCTACATATTCTGAAACAAAGAATGTTCTGTGCCCTGCAGTCACCAATTCCAAGCAGAACACACCATACTTGGAAATTCAGAAACACAAATAAGCCCCCGAATATATTCTACCCCTATAAAAAGCCCAGTTCTTTCAAATTAAGTGGCTTTTCAGAATTAGAGTTGTTATAAATCCCATATGGAAGACTTTTTTATTAAAAGACCTTAAGAGCAAGATCTTATTTTGGCAGCAGTATTGAAGACAAAGAGCACAGGCAAGGCTTGGAGAAACTGCCCCAGCTAAGACTGCCCAGCACTTCCTACTGTAGCACCATCTCTTCAGCTCTTATAACTTTACCAAGCTATAATTGTTCAGACTAAAATTTTCCATGCTGGACTTTTGCCAATTTTGAGAGGTTTTTTTAGCTTCATCCAAGAAAGAGGCTAGGGAAAAATACACTGCTTTTTACAGATTAATGAATTCCACTGACCTTTCCAACAGCTTTAGAGCACTAACACTTCAGAAGGCCTGTGTCACCGAGTACATCTTTTTGCCAACACTGGGAAAACCCTGCTGAACTTGGCCAACTACAAGTGTTTGTACATACAGCTAATTTATGTATGCAGAGGAGGTTTAGATTTTAGCAACTCATTGATCGTCCTATCCAAACACGACACAGGAGACGGGGAAGCCTTGCATGGGGGACATAAATGACTAAAGGCAGACTGAAAGTGAAAGATGCACAAATGAAGAGCCAATGTAAAAGCAGAATCTGTGCCACCTGGGCACAGAAACTGGGATAAAGGGTAGTAAAGAGTATAGGTTGGCTGGTAAAGTGAAGGGGCTGAGAAGCAACAGCAGGAGTTTCACCTAGGAGAAAATGCAGGGGGGCAACAAGCCAAGCCTGCGCATTCCCCTCAAGAACTGGAATGAAACCCCAAACTGCTGTCTAGCAGACAAATGGTGAGACTCAGTATCTGCAGAACCAAAAGTAATACATCCTGTTTCCCTATGGACCACAGAGAAGATAACTACATACTACTCTGCTAAAATATACTCTTAATTCAAACTGCAGAGGTCTATTGGATTGGAAGTTATCCACCCTGATAAAGAACAACATCTGTTTTTTCCTCAACATATTTTTTCAAAAAACCCCTAAGAATTTACAAGTAATAAAAGGAAGTTAAAGGAAAACCAAAGACTGCAAACCCAGGCACTGAAAGCCTTTGCAATTTTAATTTTAATTAGGCTTTTCTGCACATGCATTTTATGAGGAGTTTGTGAAGATACAATCACATACTGCAACTTTCACGAAAACCCTGTTTTCTTGCCCGATCAAACAGTGCTCTGAAAGTAAATTAGTGCAGCACATGAAAAGGAAATGCATTCTACAGACCTCTCTCGCAGAACTTAGAAGCTGTGCAATGGAGGAGGTAGGACTTGAAGAACAAGAAAGGTGATCCCACAGATGATGCAGCTAAATGCTGCACTTAAAAACCGGTTTTACCCCTGCTACTGATAAAATACTTGGGGGATGTCAGGAAATCTGGGTAACTGTCTAGGACCACAAGATACTGCCAACCTGCAGAAACACTTTGCAGAAGAACCAGGGATCTGTTTGGGATATGAAGTGCTATGAGATATGGTAATTGTCTACGTTTAGCCTGCACCCGGGGCTAAACTAACAGTTGCCCCATCACCCAATGACCCCCCACCAGCCAGGAAGGGGAATCAGGAAAACGAGAGGAGGCCACAGGTTAAAGTGAAAACAGATTTAATGAAACAACACTTACACTAACAAAGGTATTCAAAGTTATACTCAGCCAAATGAATAGACAGGCATCGCAATCACCAGGAGAGCAGTCCTCAAGAGCAGGGAGAAGCCAGAGGAGGAGCAGGAGGAACTCCAGTGGGACACCAGCCAGAACCCCAGCAGGAACCCCACAGCAGCTTCCGTCCTCAGCAAACCTTCCCCATTTATAATGACCACGACATCACGGTACGGGCTACACCTGCAGCCAACTCAGGTCAGCTGCCCTGGCTGACTCCAAACTGCCCACAGCCTGCCTGGCACGGCTGGGCTGGGATTCTACCCCACCCAACCAGGACAGTAATGTAAGAAAAGGAATTCACTACGTTAAGGCCTCCAAATGAGTGCCAAAAATGGGTGGTTATATTTGTCATCTTTCTGTGACTCAGCCCATCCAAGTAGAAAATACCATTATCTCTTCAGTTGTGAAATTAAACTATTTTATAAAGAATAAAATATAAAAATGTCATGCTTTGGATGTAACTGTCCATGTCTTAAAATTAAGATATTGTTTGGGGTCATCCTCTTTAATGTCTTTACTTATACCTATTCAGTTCCAGCAGAGTAAGCAACTGACAAAGCTGGCATAAACTAGAGGCAGCTGGGGGCACACCAGGCACCTAGTGGTTCAGATTACACAGTCGTCACTTGTACCTTTTCTAAACAAATATTTTTATCCCTTGAAGTTGCATCACGACCCAAGTGCATCTGATAGTCTTCTGCCATCTCTCTTTTGTCTTACTCCTTCATGGTCAGAGGTAAAACACCCTCACTCCCAATCCAACCAGAGAAGAACAAGTCTGTAATATTTAGGATACAAAACAACACAGGACTAATATTCAGTTAGTCCTTACCTCATTTGGTGGAACAATAGCAAAAGGCTGGATGACAGCTGCCAAAGGAATGCGAGCCTGTTTGGCCATATCTGAAGACAATGGAAAGCAGTAGGTAGTACATCGGATATAACGAGGGCTGGCGTGACCTAGAACATCCAACATAGCATTCAGAAAGAAAGACTCTTAAAAGAAACCCGCCTGTCCCAAACACAAACCAGAAAAAACAAAACAAAGCAACAAGTGCATATGCTAAGTTAAATGCATGGTTTTTTCCCTCCCATGCAAGCTTCTGCCCATCTGTCCTCCTCCAGTGCTAGCCCATTGCCCCTCCTTGTGGGTAAACTTTTTCTTACTGTCTGAGTTTAAAGCTGAGACTGAAACATATCAAGAAAAAAACCATAATTATTTGCAATAAAAATCTCAATAGAGATTACCTTGAAATGTATCATATCTAAGATCTTAAAAGAAAATAATATGGATGAAATCCCCAGTGGAAATATAACACAGATATACTATTTTATGTGTTAACATCACCATGGCCATTTATCTTGCAAAATATAGTCTGCTAAAATCACCACAACACTTCTTGTAGCACACTTAGCTCAGTTCCCTCAATGAGCGACTGTGCTGTGCACTGCAGACGAGCACTGAAAGGCGACAGGAGTTCAGAAATTGGCTTCCTTATGCGCCTTCTTTAACCACAAGCTGCAGCTCTGCTCAGTTTCTTGAAAGGAATTTCTTTGTTCATCGGAACTGCATTACCCCATGCTCAGATAATGGCAAAAAATCTTGATGTGTTTGTACGTTTTATATGGTTTATTCAAGCACTGATAAATTAATGCTGGAACAAATGATACCATCAGTTTAATCTGTATTAAAACATCAAGAGCAGCACATGGAATACTGTACTTCCAGGCTTGAAGCAGAGGCAAAGGCAGATACACTGGCCAAAGGAAAAAATTAAGTCAATTAGACAGCTTGTATGCTGCCCCTGTAACTTCAACAGAATTTTCCAAAATACGTATCTTAAACAGTTTCTCATTGCTTCTAGTGTCCATCTTTTAAAACTTCAGAAGAATACAAAAAGGACTTTCAACTTTAAATTTAAACCTTAAAAAAAAATTAAGTAAAAAAGAAAAGATGTCTCAACTATTCATTTTCTTTTTAAAGGTCAGGAAGGGTAGAGGTGTTAACCCAAGGTGCGAGAATTCAACTCCCACTTCCCCTCCTCTGCTGCCTTTTTTTTTTTTTTCCCCTTTAAACAGAGTTTCCCATTTCATGTCCAATTTAGAGTAAGGAGCGTAATTTTCAGATGAGAAATCTGAGACTTTAGTCTTTTTTTTTTTTTTAAAAAAAGAAGTTTTATTTCACCTAGAAAGATTCCCAAATCAGTAACAAGGACAGTTACCTTGGTCTTGGATTACGCAGTCTGTGGTGACAAGAGGAGGAACCTGTCCTCTTGTGTTTGTAGCATAGATCTGCCCTCCCCTAGAGGCCTTATCATTTTCAATTACTTGAATCTGATGAATTAGAAGCAAGAACAGTATGAGAAAGGTAACATACATTCAGTTACATTCATAAACAGTCACGCTAACAACTACACCGAGTAACACTTGACATTGTCTGACACAGAGGTGCTATAAACCTACCACAATACAGGCTTCTGGGACACTTAACTAGAAAACTATACACGCAGCTGAGCAGCAGAACTCATTTACAACTGCAGTTGCCTGTTGGAACTCAGGGGTAACACTACACACTGGGGTGGATAAGACTTATATACAGTGAACAAATAGCTGTTTAGAGTATTGACTGCTAGGAGGAAAGGCCTTTCCCAGAGAGGCTAGCCAGCAAATTGAGGAGAGTGATGGTGTAAATAAGTCCTTGTTATTGAATCTGGCCTTCCATCCTCCCAGATCAAACTAGGTATATATACATATATACCAGGTTCTCTCTTGTATGTGCCAGCTGCTGTTCTTCATAATGAATGTACAGGTAATTGATCAGATTGCAACAGTGAGAGGGCTTAGCCCTCATTCCTCCTGACTAGGCTCCTTGCACAGGGTGATTAAGAAATAAACAATGATCTACACAGTAGATCACCTTCCTAGCTGAGCATTTTCAGCACTGCCATTTAGAAAGCAGCAATTTAAACTCCTTGTTAAAAGCCTTGTTAGCCATTAGGTAGTATTTCAACACTAGAGCTCAGGGTTTTCATTCCCTAGGTCAGACTACCATGTTGTGAGCTTCCTCCTAGAAAGAAAGTAACAGAGAGTGATCAGAGAAATTTTTATTAAAACGAGGCAGCTCTGATCATGTACAGATTTAATCTGGCTGAAGCCTAGTTTATAGCAATTCACAGTGTAATGTCATGAAACACTCATGAAACTGGCTTTACTAGTGAAAAAACTCCTTTCCCATACGCTTCCTCCCCTGTCACTTCTGCACAGTCCCTGTTTAATTTTTATACTTTTCAGGATGTAACTGAAGCTATGTAAAGCTGTGTTTTGTTCCACACCATAAACCAGTCACTGAGATGACACCATTATTCCTCCTCTTCCCTCAAAGCAGCTATCTTTTCAGCAATCTGGTTTAGAGCGTAGTCCTACAGCTATGAGAGGCAAGAGGAAAGAGACAGGGCATTTCTGAAACTGGCTTTGCCACCGCTGCTGGTATTCCATAGAATTGTGTCTTTACGCTGCAAATGAATTTCTAACAACAGCTAGGGAAGTTCAGAAACCTCTGTTGGAAAGCAAACAAAGAAGAAAACAAAAATTAGCCACACAGTCTATTGTCCAAGAGGTATTTCCTAACACACTGGAAATAATCTGGGGCCTGTAACTTTTTTTTTTCCCCAATAAAGTTTTTGTATTGCCATTTAAATATACAGTACATTCCTCAGAGAGATTGTTATACATCTTCTGCTTGATTACTTTTCTCTGCCTCCTTGACTTGTATACTTATGCTAACTCTTGCATTAGAAGGAAAAAGGTTTTGCTCTGAAGCGGTCTGCTGGCTGCTGAAAGCAAATCACTTTCAGACTTGGCTCTGCAAAGGATCAATGTACCATGGTATTCTGCAATTAGCTGACCTAAATATATCATTGTTCTTGGAAATAATTGTTGACAAAGCACAGATGGTAGTTTTCATAAACGTTGTGAGAGCACACATCAACCTCTAACATATGTAAGAAAAATATAAATCAGCAATGGCTACAGATAAGTAGTGAATTTATCTGGCAACACTACTGTAATTATATAATGTAAATATAACAAGAGAAATGCACATGGTCATACTTATTCCTCATTCTGAATCAGCTTTTTGCCCTTTACAGACGTTGACCCAGATCATGTTTCTTTTAAAGACGTCATTTTGATCTTCTCTGTGCTGCTTAAACAAACCTTTTAACCTATTTTAACATCGCTGTCATAGTCACGGCTGTTTATTCTACATGTGTAATTGAAACAAGACATCAGTCCACACTTCATGCCAGACCTCCTTCTCCCCCCCTGCCCTTTTTTTTTCTTAAGATCATTTTATCCTTCCTATGAAAAAAGCACCATACTGAAACACTAGGAGTGACCGACTCATTAAGGGAATTTGTTAGTTATACAGACACTCACTTCAGGTTTTTTTACATAACGGTTTTCAGTTACATTTAACTTGAAAATTGCATTTAACAGAGGCAATTGCAATTGTTACATTAACCTCTAAGTGACAATCAACAAGTATTTTTCCAAAATTCTGGGGATTTTACATCAAAACCAGCACTGGGCAAAACAAATAATCTTTTCTAGAAGGACAGAAGAACACACCAATTTAAGGAAGCAGGGCTGCTCCCCACTAGACAGTGGCAGGCTTTTACACAAATGCTTTTTCTTTACCCCAGGTGAACACAAATTCTTTCCTATACAGCAACACTGCCTCAGCAGAGAAGATTCCTTTACCCAGACTAGATTACAGTGTGGTGGTTAATACTTTTTTTAAGTAGAAAGTTCTAGGTCAAAGCTGCAGGACACAGCCTGCTTCAAGAATCCCCACTCTCCGAGGACCTTTTGACCTGTCTGGACGACTGCCAAGACCAGTATAAGTGTGTGCATCAGAATGTGTTTTCCCCACAAGTTCAGCACATTTTCTCCCTCTATTTCAATCAGCTATTCTCAATAAAGAAGTTAAGTGCAGCCTGCATCTGACTAGCTATTCCTTTGGGTAACAATTAGACTATTTAACAAAGATGGACACAACCATTCTCTTTCTCTGACACTATTCTAAGAAGAATGTCCCACCAGTGTATGTTTGGGCATGTTTCAACAGCTGAACTTCTTCAACCTGTACGAAGCTCAAGCATTAAGTATATTCCAAGCTACTGAAATCTTCACAAGGCTGCAGCAACTGGAAGGATGCTCAGGCAAATAACTCTAGTTGCCTAGGAAACTCTTGAAATCATGTTTTTGAACATGGGACTTCCCAGCATTTCCAGGATTGCAGTTTTAGAGTTCACGTACCTGTATTCTGCACAAATCCTACTTTAGGTGTCTATCTGTTACTAAATTTCAGTCTTCAAACTTTCCAGAGTGGAAAGGAAAGGTGACTAGATGCAGTCAATGCAAGTAATCCTTCAGTACTGCTCACTGTCACACTAAGAATCCTGTTGAGAATTCCTACTCAAGTGTTTAGAGTCATGGGTATGTCCCATGTCAGATAAAGTTATAAAGCCTTTTCATAACTAACGTTATGCACAAATTTATCCAAAACTGGCAGCACAGAGTGTAAAATTGCATGTAATTAAGAAACTGCAAAAACTGGAACATTTTGTGAACCAAGTCACGTAAGTGCAATTTTGTGTTATTAAAAAACACCTACCAACTAAAATAAACACAATAGTACCACTGTCATTCCTTTATCTTAAATGCAGCAGAAATTTACTTTAATAAAAAAATTAGTGCCACATTACTTACTGGGCTTGGAATAGAGTCAGGATCAAGCTTCTTCTGCTGTGGACCTGGGAGCTGTGCCAGACCCCCAGGAAAAGCACCAGGATAAGACAGCTGAGACGCTGCCACCTGAGGACCATAGTTCCCTGCAGAGTTACAAATGATAATTCATTTAAAGTATTTGAGTTGCGTTATCAATTTTTAACATCAACTTTTGCCACGGATTTCATTCTTACTCAGCTAAATGCAACTTCTCCTTCCCTTCTGTTTTCAGCAAGTAAAAATGGATTACTTTGGCTCATGCAGTCTGTGTTTTAAAGGTAAGCAAGGTAAGCATAAGACTAGGTGTGACAATTTTGGCTCCAAAGTTTTCAAGTACATGTCAAGAAAGACGGTTAGTAGAAACTCAAACTCAAACCTGACCATTACATTTGTGAGAATCTCTCCCCTAACATCAGTCAATGCAAACTGGTCTAGTTAGCTGGCTTTTTGATTGTCAAAGTAACTGTTTTACTCACCTATGTCAGATGAAATAATTGTATCCAGTTACAACACTTTATTGCTATAGTAAAGCATTTTTGAAAGCTGCTTATGACAGACAGCACTGTAAGACAGAGAGCAACTTATACCTTTACAGACTGTAAGTATGTTGTGTCTTTATCCATTACTAACTAAATACTGCTGTTCCTGATGCAAATTAATCTCCTTTTTCTTGTTAGTCTCAACAGAATGCTAAACTTTTGAGCAAAAGCATAGCCTGCCAATGCAAATCTTTCCATTCTATGAAAAGAGGATTAAATTTTCGTTTTTTCCAAGTCAGCAGAACATCAACCATGAACGGTCACAGTTCCACCAGTGATTCTCCATGCAGGTTTTGGTTTTGATCACATAACAAACATCCTTCCTTACCTTGCTGAGGATGATATCCAGGCCCTGGAGGCTGTCCTGAAAGCTGCTGCAAGTTAGGATTTGGGGGGACAGGTCCAGGGATCCCATCTTGTCTGGCCATAGGAGACAATGACGGCTGAGCACAAAGGCCATTAACATTATTTGCTGGTGGAGGAATCTGTGATCCAGGCGGTAAAGTGATTTGCTGCTGTGGTGGTGGTGGTAGTTGTGGACCCTGAAAAGATGCTGGATGTCCAGAAGATGCACGAGAACTCGGAGTAGTGCCAGGACCTGAGCAAGAAACTAGGTCAGCTGAGTCAAAAATTATAACCCGCTAACTCTGTGAGGAAGAGTTCTACTTTTGCTCAATACATTCACAACACATAGGCAATACTGTATCCCATACAGACAGTCCTGCATTACGGGGATTCTGAATGCCTGTTCACCCAACAAATCTGACCTCATAGTTTCGATCTGAACTGATTCAGACATTCAATTTTATTTCTTTTGGCCCTATTGTCAATAAAGCCCTACAGCTGGGGTGGATGGGAAAAGAGAGAGGGAAGAAAGCCTTTGACAATTCCTGATTAGAATACACATAAATCACTATTTGCCTTTGAAATAATATTTAATTTCATAATGTGAAACAACTTTTTGCTTAATAATCAATTTCTTTTATGTAGCATGTTTTTGTTGGTCTGCTATTTGCATTTCACCATGACAGGTTCAATGGAAGATAAATCCACTCATTTTATCTAGTTTACAACCAGATTCTGGTTTTGATGCTAAAAAATGAAACATGTGGGAACTATTTTGTACACACTGGTGAAGAATAATTGCTGTTTATAAAATCCAGTGTCCAATTAGAACTAAGAGTGCCCTGGAAATAGAGGGGAGGTTTGAGACTTACGATCTGTAAATACTTATTACTTTACAAAACCTAAAAGTTACACCAACTTTGACTTATAGCTAAGGAAAGATCAGAAGAACAAAACCCAACACAGAGGCAGAGTTGTAAAGAATCCATGTCTTCTGTGGTCTGAAGGGTCTCTCAACCTTCCAGCGTGTAGATAAGAACATTATATTTTATATAATTATTGCTGAAGGCAATTTAAGGAAGGCAGGAAGAAAAGAAGATTCTGTTCTAGAAAGTATGAGTTGCTATATATTAAGTGCTGCAGAAGTGCTGCACCACACCTCATCCAGTATAAAAAGGTTTGAGTTAATTGTGCACTTGCAGTTCAATACCTCAAGGTTGAATTTGAGGCCAAATAAATTTTTCTAAGGTGAAGAATGTGTAAGTTTTCACAAGCAACTGTACAACCAGAGGGTCAGACCCATGGCAGTTATGCACGTTCCATTCAAGTCAAATCAGCAGCTCATAAAGCCAGAGTAGGAACAGTGACACAGTATCAACACAGCCTGAACTGAAAAGTTTGCCTTTACATATCTCTTACAAAGATATCAACCGCCAAAATGATCTGCACTTTAAAAACTCATCTTCCTCAACACACTGGCCTCAGCAAAACAAGCAGCTAACTAAGTGCCACTCCTTTTAAATGAAATGGTAAATTTCACCAGGAAATACTCAGGAAAAGCAGATACAACCACACAGAAAATCAGTGGTGAGAAGTAATTTACATGGAAGAATCATATGATCACATCTTTACCTCACAGCTTCAGTTTGAGATGTTTTAACCTCAAAATAAACACAGATAAATTTAGATGAAAAACTAAACTATTAGATTCAGACAAAAAAGAATAAAATAATTTCAAAACAGACAGCAGCTCTAAAAAGCTGAGAAAAATGAAACCTTGTCTGCATATTATTGCTCATGCCTTGGCTGTTACTGACAGGATCACCAAGCCATTTGAGAAATGACTGGTAAGAGAACTGACTTTTACAGAATGCTCATCAAACATCAATTCAGAATTAACCCAAGAATACTGATTTAATGAATAGGATAAGATTAAAAAAATTTAAGAACTGGAGCAAATGATAGTGGCCAAAGATTTCATTTTTCTGTTTATACAGAAGTTCGGTAAGTTTCTAATTATCATAGTCCTAATAGCTTTAACTGAGAAAAAGTCAATCAGATCAGATAAAATTGATTACCATAGCTATTTATCTGCATGCTGTTGACCTGGTTAGCAAGTTGTGCTGTAGATGAAGTGGACGCAGTATTTGGGTAGGCTGGTTGTGACTGATGACTGTAGGGAGGGTAGGAAGGTCCTGTATTGCTTGGAGGTGGAGGGCCTTGAAACCTAAAGCAAAAAAATAGTGCAGTTATGCAAAAAATTACAGCAACCAATCATAATTCTAGAAGATCTCATAACTTCTCAAGGGTGGTGCTGAAACAATTAGTTAGGACAACCAAACTCTTAAGAGACTTTACTCACACTCTGATCAAAAAATGTATACTTGTATTACAATAGTCATGAAGCACAGAGAGATTACACACTTATTTAAAAAAAAAAAAAGACAGTACATGTTTGTTTGCATACTTGTTAGAAACAAAGAAGAGTGAGTATGCCACGGCAAAGAGAAAGTGGTAACAACTGTATGAAAGCTGGAAGATTAAGAAACACAAGTTCCTAAAAAGGAAGAATTCCTACCAGGGATGGGTGAAGAAGATAAGGAGAAAAATCTGTGAAGAGACAAAAATGAAGTGAGAAACTGTTACAAGGAGTTCCCTGTAGCAGAGGGAAAAAGAAGATGCAGGTAGGTAAAAACTGCTTCATGATATCAGATATGGAAAAGCATGAAGGCAGGAAAAAGAAGTAAAGAAAGCGGTAACACACACATGGCTTATAAAGATACTTTCTATCAGACTATTTCACTAAAAAAAAAAAGTAAGATCTCAGGCTGTCTCCCAGAGATCTACACTGATTTTCATACGACCACTTCTAAAACTGAGGAGGGACCTAGCTATTTCAAGAGAAGTAGAATTCACTTTTCTTGACATTTTGATGTGGAAATTTCCTGGCCTAGAATAGCGGCTCTCAGCAATTCAGGAATAAAACAGGATCAGGTTAAAAACAGTAGACGTGCAGCTGTCAGGGCAACAACTGGAAGCAAGGAAAGAGAATAACCATTTTGCTGAGCTGGTCATGTCAACTTGACTCTGTCCACCTTGGCTTTTCATCTTCAGGACAACAACCACTTCTCCCTATGCATTAGTACATTGTCTTTTACAATTGATCACCAGTCTCTTTGGGTCCTCCTTCACACAGTGATAACACACTGTCAACACAGGCTTCCCTATTTTGATGCCTAATAAAACATACACATGGGTTTATTTGAACACCAATAACTATACAACTGCTAAAAAAGCACAGAAGCAGATTAAAACTGCAACCAACTACAACAAGTTGACATGACAGTTAAATACTGTCAGGTTCACCAAAACTAAAATAGCTATAGGTGCACAAACTGATTTTGCCACTCTGGGGAGGTGAGCAAAACAATTAACATTCGACAGAATTAAATAAAAGAGCTAAGCAGATTTACCCACTACCTGCAATATAACCACTCCATAATAAAGCTTGGCTATCACCTCATTTTTCCAAGATTTCTTTTTACAGCTTCAACCTGTCCCTGTTTTCTCCCTTCCCTGCTCCTGTCTCCTTCACTTCTTCCTGTAAGCTCCGGAGACAGGACAACAACACTTCAAACTGACTATGAAGAGCTGATCTCAGACCTAAGCAAATGAGTAGCAGTCATCTATCTGAGAGAGCATAACAAAATTGCATTATAAAATTTCAAGTACCCTATGGAGCCTTCACCGTGATCCCACAACAATGAAGCAAAGACATCCTAACAAGGCAGCGGTATGTGTGTGGGAACTACAGATAGAGAGACATGCACTAGCATCTAGTGAAAACTTGCTGGCAACTATGAGCTTTTAAATAACAACTTCTTGGTACCTCACAAGGAAGGAGAATTAAGTTATCAGAAAGTGAAGGAAAAAAATAATGCAAATTCTATATCAAACAGCACTTAAACACCTTACTGCTGCTTTGAAGCAATGGGTCTAAGATCAAGAAGAAAGAATAATTAAAAATAAAACAAACAGTACGTGATAAAGACTTGGCCTGCTGTAAAATGGAACTTAATGAGATTACAGATCACACAGGCACAGGGAACCCAACTAGGAGATCCAATTCAGAACTGGAGTAAGTCAGAACTGCTGAAGATAAAAGGGATGCCATACTTAAAAGTCAGGGAAGCAGCCGAAGAGAGGTAACAGATGTCAAATAGCTTAGCTCTTGTGTATTAATTCTTGAAAGTCACCTATGTGGCTGTTGCCCTGGTGTACTGGGCCCATTTTGGAAGCTGGTCTGGCTGAATTGATGTGTACCAGGTGGTGGAGGCCCAACAGGAGCTGAAGATCCAAAAGGCACAGCTGATTTTGACACACCTGCAAAAGAAGAAGTACTTTTATGTAAGAAGCCTGTAAGAGAGCACAAGATTGCCAAGAAACACAAGTGCATGGCTCTGCTCTAGCAATAAGAATACCGGCTCTAGGTGAACCTGTTTGAGCAGGGGAGTTGGACCAGATGACCTCCAGAGGTCCCTTCCAACCTCAGTCATTCTGTGACTCTAGAAGAAAGGACGTATTTCTGGTCAGCTTTAGAAGCAGATATGAAAAAGAACAGACGGTAAAAAAGCAGCAAGTAGTAGTCGGTAACCTTCCAGCAAAAGAAACCAAGAGGGACAGTAAGAAAGAACCAAGAATGAACAAACAGACCCTATAATTCAATGTGGGATACTGGTAATTCCCTGTCACCCAGCATCTTTATAGGTAGAGCCAAGAGGTCCCTTTGACTTTAGAGACCATGGTCAGAAAGAAAACTTGGAACAACCTTTACACAAAAAAAATAAAATAAAATAAAAAAGGCCTCCATATGTACAACTTGTGAACCTATGCTAAAAATGGTTCTTAATTCAGATCTAGAACAGCAACTGTGAAGAGACTACCATTTATGTAAACAGCAGGGCTGAATAAACAGCTTTTCAACCTGTATTTCTTGAATTATTTGCCTTTAAACAACTCTAACATCAAAAATTTGTTTAGTACCAAAACTGGTATTTTTCCCAAGTATTCCAATAAGCCACTTACCAGAAGTAGTTCTATCTTCTGACTACATTCAGCATTGGATTAAGGTAACACTACTTCTGCTGTCTTCAATATGAAGTTTCTTTTTTTAAAGAAACTTCTTCTTTTTAGAAGTTTTTTAGAAGTTGCTTTTTTAAAAGAAACTGGGCAAAATTTCTTCTTTTTTGTGTTTTCATGATAACACAAAAATCAAGGACACCACAGAGTATTTAAAAAAAATCTCGATATGCCTGGATACTTAGTTCTGTCATTACCCTACTCCACCATCTCAAATACTAAATTTAATGTGACTTATCATGATCTGAATGATATTAAAAAATTTAACGAATACTTTTTTTACATGGCTTAGAGAATACTTCAGACATCTTTACTATTTTAACTAATTTTCCCCTCTGACATCAAGCAAAATACTGAGATGGTCCTTCTTCCTGCCTCCCTACCTTGGCTGTGTATATTAGTAGACTTAGAGAGGGAAGAGGAAACCTTACTCTTTAGATATTTTCCGCAGCCCCAATTCACCAGTCTAGCATGCCCACTTTGGCTTTACTGAAATCAGACCAGCATGACTTAGATACAGCAAAATGAGCTTTAATTCCATCCTCTCGAATTATTTTTTTCTTTTAAGCTTCAGCCCCATATACTCATACATTATACTTCTTGAAAGATCTGAAGTCATGTATCAGTAATCTAAAATTAATGAAAAGTGAAGGAAAGACAAAGACAGCCATATTTATCTGTTGGATGACAATTACACTATCTGTAGCATAATTACCCTGGTAGAAACAAAGCAAATATCCCCTTTGCTTGTAATTTGCTTGTGCCCAGGGTGCCCTTCCTCACAGAAAGCAATTGTCCCCTGAGTGGTTAGAAAGCAGACGGGCTCTACTCACCATGCATTATCCAAATACATAACTCAGTAAGCAAGCTTGAGTAGGAGAACACCAGCTCATACTCATAGGCAAGTTTCTGCTCAAGAATTCAGTAGGACAAAGGTCCTATTGTGAACAATACAACCCATCTCCGAGAGCGTGCTTGCCATTAACACATAGGAAACATTTCTCTATTCCCAGAAATCACCCCTTTTATATTTGTCTGTATTAGATATTACTCATAACACAGCATTAAGCACTGGTGCTTTTGCTTCCTGGCCAATGGAATTCACACATGGTTATGCACCCACTACCACGTGCATCTTACATTGACATCTGAGCACCAACAGTAACACAGACAAAGCTGGTGCAGGATCCTGTTGCAGTATTTTGTGCTGACACAAGTAAGAAAAAGAAATGCAAAATGCCTTCAGAGAAAAGTAGACTCTGAAAACACATTTTAAGCCAAATTCATACCTGCTTGAGGTGCTGAGTATGAGGAGTTAGGGTCCCCATAATGCCCATAATGAAGTGAAGAATTAGGTGGTCCAAAACCTGCAGAAAAGCCTCCTATTCCTGGCTGGGATTGGGAATATGGAGGAGCTGCAACATAACCTTGTTGACTCATGATGGCAATATTCTCATTCAAAGTATCAGGTCCTCTTTAAGAATCTGCAAAAGAGAAAGTGACACGGGCTACTACTCTTCACTCTTTGTGCATTGTAAAAGGCTGTGAACTGTGCTCCCCAAAAAAGACAAAAGATACACTGATGGCAAAAAAGGACCTGGAAGTCAGGAGAAAACAGTGGTTTTGCTCAACTGATTGGTTGGTTGGTCAGTTTCCTCAGCACTACCACATACTGCATGAATTTAAACGAATCACTGAATTTATCTGAACGGGATTCACCTCTCCCAGGCCCATAGAGAGAAAAAAATGTAAGTAATGGATGTGCAGGTGGAAGAAAACTCAAAGGGAGGTCTCAAACTGTTCTCTTTGCTAGGGAAAAGCTAGACTTCTACTGCACCTGAAAAACACACTGAGTCCTGCTCCTCAAATACCAGACATCCCAGGGAACACACCCAAAAATTAGGAAAGGCAGAGCAACCAGAGTATGAAACTCCTCTAGCAAATCCTTCTCCTGTCCTAGCACACCTTTTCTTAGAAGAGGTATAGAACATGGCACCAACTTGCTATCAAACCTTCTACATCAGCCCCACTCCAAGAAAGTGAGGGAAGATTCTTGCTTCTGATGAAATAGAAGATGGAGAGAGATCCTATTTCTAGCTGTCTTCTGCATTACTGGCCCAGGCCTACTACAGGACTCTACAGCATGATGAAATTGAGCACAAGGTATTCCGCTAATGACAAGCTGTTCTCCGAGGGCAGTACGGCTTCAACAGTACCATATGTTGACCCTGCTACTACCAGGCATCTCTTCCCTAAGCTTTCACATCTTGGTTTTCTTGTTGTTAAAGAAAGAAAAAAAAAAAATACCACAAAAAAACCCAAAACCAAACCCCAGAATTTGATTAAAAGCAATCCCGAAAAAGGTTTATAATGATGAAAACATTCACAAGACACATAATTTCTTTCTTGCAGTCAGATTTTGTTAAGCAAGAAACTGTTAGGAAACTTTCAGGAAAGAGTATCTTGATAATTGCGATCATTTTTAGAACTAGAAAAAACGAAGAATTCTGCATTACTAAACTACACTACTGTATTTCGTAAGACTTGTTTTCAGGTACAGCGTCCTTGCCACCAAGGGACTTGAAAAGTTATTGAAGTTGTACACTTTGTCGCCTTGATAGCTAACTTTCTCTTTTCCCTGTAAGAGAGAATTTTTTATTTTGACTTCATATTGAATTTAACAAAACCAGAATTCCACTAAGCTTCTTGATTCCCATTGACAAATGCTGAGGATCCAAACCCTGCATGAGCACTTACTACCCCTGTAGAGTCCCAAGTTCATAGGTCAGCCACCCCCAAAGAACTAAAGATACATGATATAAACCAGCATTTTCGATGTTAAATGTTCATTTGAAATAGCTTTCCCAAATACCTACACTTCACATTCTTAGGTTTGAGCCATAGAGTCATCTTTGAGTATGCAAACTGGATGAATGTAAAGCAGAAATTGTGCTCCAGAAGCATGCACAAAGGCACCTCAAAATTACACGTGGCTCCAAGTGCATAACAAATT